TTTTTTTTTTTTTTTGTACGAAATTTCAAATTTGTTAAAAAAATACTTAATATAATGTGTACTTTTTTATGTAATGTGCATGCCAATATATTGTTTTTAAGCGTGGTTTCATTTTTATTTTAATTTTTTAAATGAAATTAACATAATAAAATTACCATAACTCATAAAAAATAATATGAACGGAGTTTATTTATAAAAAACATTTTGGTCAATGTTTTTTGGTATAATAATAAGTCTCGATTTGATTCATTTTTTGTTACGACATTTCAATAATTTTTGAGTGAAATACACTATTCATTCTGTTTAGTATGATAAAGAGTGTCAATTTTTATGGCATAAAAAATCATATGCCTGATTGTTTTTACTCAACTATTTAAACTATTTGATTTGGATATTTTATCAAAAATAAATTTATTTTAATTAATGATACAATATAAGCTTTATATCTATACTTATTATTCATATAGGTTTTAAAGATATGATAAAATTTTACCAAATAAAATATTTTATAGTCAAATAAAATTTCTGAATAAAATTTTGAAAAATATATTTTGAAACAAATATAATGTAATTTATTATCAGTTATGTGCAACGCACAAGTTATGTACTAATTTTAAATAGATACTTTTATGTAATTTTGGACAATTTAGATTTTATATATCATTTTCAATAAATTAATATAGGTACTTGTATTACCTATTGATTCCATGTATTTCATTATAAATATTTAATTTATAAACATTAATGAATATCTTTTACCCGTGCATCGCACGAGATTTGTACTATTATGTCAAAAAATACAAAGTGATTTGGAGCTTTAAATTGAAAAGTAAAATGTAAAAGTAGGCTTTATAATGATAATAAGTTAAAAGTGAAACCCTCAATTGAAAATTTAAAAAATGTAAACCCTATTAATCAGGCCCTACAATAAAATTCCCCTATAATATATTTTTCACCTCTTTTAATCAACGTTGTTTTTTAGGCAAAACATTAAATATGAGCATGCTAAGCCTAGCTTGTAAAATGGATAATATTATATCCTCCTAACACATTTATACTAATATAAAATTAATTTTATTATATATATTAATGTCATTATTATTTATAAAAGTTATATTTGTAAGTCTTTTTTTATGTAATGATCTTTTTTAATGCATGTTAGTATTATTTATTTATGTAATCAATTTTAAATATGTAAACAAATTTAAAATTAAAGTGTATAAATATTTTACAAAATATACACAGGTTTTCTTAGAACTAACTTTGAATACTAACTAAACAACTTTGATTTAGCAAATGCCAAAAAATAATTCCTTATATAATCAAGATTTTTCTAATTTGCATTATCCCTCCTATATATAATTCTCGAATGCGCTGAGCCTATGTGGCTGCTTCTGGTGCTTCAGAATCCTACTTGGCGAATAATCATGCTTCGTAATTAGGTTTGGAAAAATAATATTAATATATTAATAATTAATAATCTAGGTTCTGACATTCTATAAATATTATTTAACTAACTTAGATATTTTAATATCACTTGTACTAATATAACCCTTTAATTCTTTATAATTTTATATAGTGAGACACTAAGTGACTAATATATCCCTGACTTTTGATTTGTTTCCTTCAATTAGCTAATGAATTGTAAATGTATTAAAAGTTGATAACTTTTGTATTTCTTACCGGTTTTACATATATAATATATCAAATTAATCATCTTTTAATGATCTTCGTTTTGACATCCATATTGTATATATGAAATAAATAAATTATATTTATCTTTATAATAATATAAATTATAATATTTATTATTTAGAAAATAAAATTATTTCTTAAATGATATATTTATGTTTAATTTAGTTATATGTTGTAAGTTAAAAAACTTATTATAATATAACACATGTAGGTCACACAAATAAAAAGTGTCATACTAAATATATTTTAATACATATATTTTTATAAAAAGTATTCAAAATTTTAACTTTTTTTCTCATTAATTTTAGATTTTAAAAATAAATTAGCAAGCACCCGTGTAATACACGGGCGTTGTACTAGTAAAGATTATAGTTGATTTAGCATTCTCTGCAATGAAAATATATTTTACAGAATTTCATTATAGAAATAAATCAAAATAACAAAAAAAAAAAATGATAAAAAAAATAATCATGGTTGCCAATAATATACAAATAAATTCTATAACATTTAATATATATCAATTTTATTTTTTTTTATCATTAGTAAAACTAATGTATCTGGTCATTATCTATTAAATGGTAAATTATATTAAATTTGAGTAATATTATTTTTTATATATAACAAAATAAAGCTTAAGAAAAAAATTATATTGGCAAAGATTGATTCACCAACTTGATTTCACTTCATTAATTAGAAGAAAAAATTCTAAGTAGTATATTATGATTTTCTATAAAGATTTGTAAATAAAAAGTGAATATTTAAAAAAAAAATATTATGGTTAGAACTTAAAATATGTTGTAATATTTATCTTGATCGTAATATTATCTTCATAAATTACGAAAAATCAATCTCGTAATTTATTATAATGAATAATTGTAGATATTAATTAAATTATTTAAAGAAACAATATTTTTTATCATAATTGATTTGATATTATTTGAAAATGTTATGAAATTAATGCGTATATTTAAAAATTTTCCAAAAAAACTATGCTTTAAATGCTTCCAAAATTTATGACTACTATTTTTTTAAATGGTTATTCTTATATATACTTATATAAAAATGCATCTTATTTACTAGAATTAGTAGTAAAAAAATCAAATGTAATTAATGTATTCTATTTCCATCAAGTATTTTATTTAATTATTTTATCCCATAACACATTTCTAATACAACTTACCATGATTTTTCTATTTTGATTAAAACCAGATTTTACGTTTAAAATCTTGTGAAATTGTTATTATTATTTTAATGAAGCACATATTATTTGTTAAAAAATTGTGTGTATATATATATATATATAATTATATATATATATATATATGTATTATACACATCACAGTACCATGGTAGATGATTTAAATTTAAACCGACAAAATGCCATTAATTTAAATTTGAACACACCTATGCGTTTGAGCAAATGTTTGGGTGATTTAAAATTGCGCTCATAAAAAATTATTAAAATCTGAACACACCATAAATTTTATATAATATTTATTTATAAATATATTGAAAGTGGTATTTAATGGCTGTTATATAAACTATTTTAATATATTTGCAATGAATAAAAGTTTGAATGAATAATTTGTAATATTATTAATTATGTTTGTGACTTATGAGACACGAACACATAACTCCATACATATTTGCTAGAAGGCGGCTTAATAATTTTCATAGATTATTCAAAGCTGTAATGAATCAACAAATCGTGGAATAAATAGAATATCATGAAAGTGTTTTCTACACTGATAAAACGTTACAAACTGAAAAAGACTAAAAAAATAATATTAAAAACTTTTATGTTTGTTTAGATTAACAACATTGATCAAACAAGTTCATCTTTCATGTTTGGTCATAATAATTATCAAACTTTATAAATCAATAAGCAAAATGTTTGGTCAAATTATAATTAAACTTTATAAATTATTTGCAAATGAAAAACAGTCTTAGTTGAATGTAGAGTATGTTGTAAATCAATTCACACGGTTAAATTTGTGATAATTAAAAGTATCAATAAAAAAAATCAAAAAGTTTATATGACATATGACATGCGTCCCGTCTCCGAGGAAATCTTTATCTTTTAGCAAAATATTGGTTGCACCTAATCTAATAGACGTGTAGAAGAACATGATGGATAAAAACCTCATCATGACCAAAAAACTTTTATCTTATAGCAAAATGTTGGCTTCAATCTAATAGATTTTTTTTTTCTATTTGCAACCAGCATTATAGTTATACTAAAGTAAACCATTATATCATTAAGAATATATTATAGTTATGTTATCAAATCATAAAAAAGATATTAAATCCATATTGTAAAAAAAATAATTCATATAATTTTATAACAATTCTACTACATTATTTAACAATATTCATTTTTATTATATAATACAATAATAATTGAATATTATATGGCGAATAAGAATAAGTAAAACTGTTACTTTTTCTTATATCAAGGGATAAATTTATATGCTAAAATTTAATTTTTATTAGTATAAATGTTTTAATGAGATAATATATTAATTATTTTACAAGTTAGCCCCAACAAACTCATATTTAATGTTCTGTCTAAAAAAACAACGCTGGTTAAAAGATGTGAAAATACTAATAACTCTATCGTGTTTTAGACTCAACGTTTACTTTTTAGACTTAAACAGAAAATACTGTGAAAATAACTCATTTAATATTTATGTCCCGTACATCGCACGGGGTACGTACTAGTTATTTAGTATATATATATGGATTGGTTCCAATGCATCCACATTCTTAAAGTGAGGACGTGAGACTCATTTCTAGCCACACGATTTGGTACATAGTGTGTGGCCAAGATTGAATCTTTTCTTTTTTATTTTTTTAATTATATAAATATTGTTTTGACCCGTTGACTCCGGCGTTGACCGTTGACTTCCGACTTTGACCGTTGACTCCGGCGTTGATTTCTGGTGAAAATTCGTTGGCTTTCGACGTTGACCGACATTGATCGTTGACTTCCGGCGTTGACCGTTGACAACTAAACTTGCAATTAAATATAAATAACCTAGCATGCTATGTTAATTGTCTGATGGTGCTAGGTTAGTTGTATGTTTGTGCTATGTTAGTTGTATGATTGTGCTAGGTTAGTAGTTGCTAGGTTAATTGTCTGATGGTGCTAGGTTAGTTGTACGATTGTGCTAGGTTAGTAGTTGCTATGTTAGTTGTATGATTGTGCTAGGTTAGTTATTTGATGATGTTAGGTTAGTTGTATGATTGTGCTAGGTTAGTTGTCTGATGGTGCTAGGTTAGTTGTATGATTGTGTTAGGTTTTTTTTTTTTTTTTT